AATAAATAAATAAATAAATAAATGACTAAATCAAATCACAGAATAGTACACAGCTGTTAATAAAACAGTGATCACACACACACACTAACAAGCAAAAAGGTCAGTGAGCTGTTGTTAAGTTAAGCAAATTACAGGATAACACAGATATTACCTCATTTCTCTTAAAAAACAAGTACTTTCATTAACATTTTTGTATTTATGATAGTAATATTTCTGGCACACAGAGATAAAAATAATACTTTCTTGTGAGCCAAGTATTAAGTATCTCATGTATGTTAACTTCATTTTAGAAAGAAATCTATGAAGTAGAAACTATGATTTCCATTTTTTGTGTGGGGAAACAGAACATGTATAGGAGGTGGGAGAAGCAAGATTTGAACCTTTGTTATCTAGCAGCAGAGGCGGAATCCCTCTAGTAAGTGCTCACTAAATGGCTTCAGTGTGTGTGTGTGTGTGTGTGTGTGTGTGTGTGTGTTAGACATACATTCACAAAGTGAAAGGATATGGTTATACATCCAAATGTTAACATGGATTATGTCAGAGGAATAGAGTTAAAGAAATAGCAATAATAATATTGACATTAATGTCAATACAATTCCTTTTATTGATTATTGTCAATAAACTGGCTTATGCAATGACTTTGACGCCAACAACAAAAAAATATGAAAAGGATTCACAACGTAATAAATACAAGGAAGAAAGTAATGGACTCCGGTCATATGGGGAAGGAAATTAACTGAAATCTGAGTAGGAATAACAATTTCTATTTATCCAAATTGGACAATAAAAACATGAAAAGAATTTCAGTTAAACATGGATGACGGTATAACTTGAGATGTTTGTTCTGGAGAAACAGGATGTAACCATATGCCAGGTGAGTTTGGGGTCCGTCCCCACCGACATACAGAAAAGTGTCAGGTAGAATCATCCTGGGAAAATGTGGTCTTCAATTCTACGGTTGAGGAGATCTTAAAACTCCCTTCGAGGGGGGCCCGGGTGGCTCAGTCAGTTAAGCTTAAGTGTCCAACTTCGGCTCAGGTCATGATCTCATGGTTCATGAGTTCGAGCCCCACATTGGGCTCTGTGCTGATAGCTCAGAGCCTGGAGCCTGCTTCAAATTCTGTGTCTCCCTCTCTCTCTGGCCCTCCCCTGCTCATGCTCTGTCTCTGTCTCTCAAAAATAAATAAATAAATGTAAAAAAAATTTTTTTTAAACCCTCCCTTCAAAATGTGAAATCTATTGTTGGCTGGGAAGGTGATTTCATTTCCTTGGGAAAGCAAAAAATTAGTAGGCAAACTAAAACTCCACAGGGTTATCACTTCTGTGCTTTATTTACAAAGTTTTTCCATCTTTGTCATACTCTGAGAAGGGGGTGTTGAAGGGGTTTGGAGCAGTTCCTTATGTTAGAGAAACTGATTAACCACGAGAGTTCGCTGCCTAAAGCATTTAGATGTGAGATGAATATCTGTTTCATATGAACAATTTCAGAGAATGTGGCTGTTGATAAATGGTTTTGAACGCTTAAAAATATGAATTATTGGGGCGCCTGGGTGGCTCAGTTGGTTAAGCGTCCGACTTCAGCTCAGGTCACGATCTCGCGGTCCGTAAGTTCAAGCCCCGCGTAGGGCTCTGGGCTGATGGCTCAGAGCCTGGAGCCTGCTTCCGGTTCTGTGTCTCCCTCTCTCTCTGCCCCTCCCCCATGCATGCTCTGTCTCTCTCTGTCTCAAAAATAAATAAATGTTAAAAAAAATTTTAAATATGAATTATTATATTTATACATTTGGTTGATTGGATTTATAAATCCCTCAAGGGCATAATGACTTTGCTTCTTAGCTCTGTAAGTATTCCTCATTAGGTATTCAAAATTTGGTGGGGGGGGATAAGAATATTCATAAACACAGTATAAAATGAGAGAATTTAACCTAGTTTGTCAGAAGGTTTGTTGCTTATGGAAATTCAGTCTGAAAACCTTATGAATGAATGCACACTTAATGGACAACTATGTTATACCCAATAAATTAATTTTAAATCAATCAAATTGCAAAGGAAAGTATCATTCTTGTTTTTGTACAAAAGCAACTGAATTTTTAAATAAAACAACAGCCATAAGTCATAAGCCATAAGCAACATAAAAGCTTAAGAAAAAGTCATAAGCAACATAAAATCTTAATCATAAGCCATAAGCAACATAAAATCTTAAGAAAAACTAAAATCTTAAGAAAATCTTTTAAAGTCTATCATTGTAAGGACTGAGTAATCCCACCTCTAAGTATTTACCCCAGAGAAACAAAAAATCAGGGACACACACACACACAAACTGCACGTGAATGTTTATAGCAGAAAAAAAAAAAAAAAAAAAAAAAAAACAAGAATTGAGACTACTGATCACAACCTTCATGAATCTCAAAGGCATTATGCTGAGTGAGAGAAGCCACATCCTGTGTGATTCCGTTTATATAACATTCTTGAAAAGACAAAACTCCAATGACAGAGAAGAGACAGGGATATACAGGAGCCGGTGGTGGAGAGAACATCTAACAATGCGGGGGAACCCCAAGAGAATGTTTCAGGAGGAAAAGGAACTGTTCTATATTCTGATTGTGGTGGTGGCTACCCAAATCCACTCAGCTGATAAGACTCATAGAACTGGGTGTCTCTGGGTGGCTCAGTTGGTTGAGTGTCCAACTCAGGGTTGTGGGATTAAGCCCTGCATCAGGCTCTGCACTAAGTGTGGAGCCTGCTGGAGATTCTCTCCCTCTCCCTCTGCCCCTCCCCCTGACAAATAAAATAAAAATAAAAAAACTCACTAGACAGAGAAGGGAATTTTACTGTATGGTAAATTTTGAAATTTACTGTGTGGTAAATTTTGAAACAGGTTTCAAATTCTGTAAAAATACAGAATTTATTAATTCTGTAATAAATTAAATGTTAATCCATTTAAAGAGGACTTTCTGTGCCCAAAGTGTCCCCCCACCAAGATGTTTGAAGCTCAAAACACAATTATGAAGACTTTGCTGTTACCTTCAGAGAAACCACGGTGGTTTTGTTTTCACAGGCATTGTCCAGAACACTGAAGGTGGCATTCATTAGTGTGCAGAAGGAACCCTGTGCCCCAGAAGAAGAACATGTGTGAGCACTGATCAATCCATCCTTCAGTGTGTAAAGTACAAATTGGCCATCTAGCCCACCATATGGGTGGTCTTAAACTCCCAAGTTTAAGAGCTGCTAGAAGCAGGCTTTAGAATTCTCAGGAAAATAGAAACTCACCTTTTCAGCAGAACTGGGACCACAGTACCTTTTTCTTCTGTGAATAAAAGGAGCAAATGGAAAGAAACAGCAAAACTACTTCGTGGGGTCAAAGATGGGGGAAATGTGTGAGTAAACCCCAGTGGTCCAAAAGGAGTATTATTCAGCCACAAAAGGGAGTTGAAGCATTGGCATCTGCTACAATGTGGACAAACCTTGAAAACATCGTGCTCAGTGAGGGAAGCCGCACACAAAACCCCACATATTCTGTGATTACATTTATATGAAATATCCAGGATGCAGAAACTGATGGACACAGAGAGCAGATTACTTTTTACCAAGACCTGGGCACAGGGGGAGCTGGAGAGCAATGTTGCTGGGGACAGGTTTCTTTTGAGGGGATAAAAATGTCTGAGAGACTGCAGTGGTGGCTGCACACCATTGTGAATATACTGAATGCCACTGACTTGTACAGTTAAAAGTGGGTAGAATGGCCAATTTTTAGGTGTATTTCACCTAAATTTCTAAATCACCTAAATTCTTCCAAAAAATAACATTGGCCCAAAGTGCATGGGAATTTTGGGGCACCTGAGTGGCTCAGTAGGTTAAGTGTCGATTTTGGCTCAGGTCATGATCTTGAGGGTTCTGGGTTCGAGCCCCGCGTCGGACTCTGTGCTGACAGCTCGGAGCCTGGAGCCTGCTTTGGATTGTGTGGCTCCCTCTCTTTCTGCCCCTCCCCTGCTCGTGCTCTCTCTCTCTCTCTCTCTCTGTCTGTCTCAAAAATAAATAAACATTAAAAAAATTTTTTAAAAAGTGCAGGGAAATTTGAAAGCTAATTTATAAGCTCATATTGAAAATTATCACGTCAATTCCTGAAGATGTTCATGGAGGCTTTGACCACTGGAACAACTTCGTTAGAGAATCAGGATATCCAAATTCCTTTATGCCTGGCCCAGGGGCTGTGCATCTCCCCTCCCATATCACACAGACACAGCACCAGCACCTTCACTGGTAACGAGATTCCAACATCCCTTCTTCTATTTGGAAAAGAATTCCCAAGTTTTAGATAGACAAATGCCCTCCCTTCTCAGCTTTCCTTGAAGGTAGGTGTAAGCAGAAGTGATACTGGGTTATACCCTTAAAGAGAAGAACTATGCGTTTCACCTCACCTTCCCCCCTGCCCACCAGCTGGAATGCAGACGTGATGGCAGGGGCTGGAGCAGCCATCTTGGACCACAAAGTGGGAGGGCTGGTGTTGCTGATGGCAGAGCATTTGCAGAACCATCATATCAACTCTCCACAGCTGACACCCAGATTGTTACAGACAGAGAAGTAAACTGCTATACGATTTAGGACACTGTTATTTTGGCCTTTGTGAAAGCTGCAAAACAACATCCTACTTGAGTGACTTCTAGGCTAGAAGCTCTTCTAGGAACCTCAAGAGCTAGGAAGCTTCAAAAATACTTACATATTCAGCCATCACTGCTTCTCCCACTTGGCATTGCTGGACCCACTCATTGTTGGGTATCACATCTTCTTTGCACTTGAAGGGAATCCCTAGGAAGGAAACGAAAGCTACCAAGTCAAAGCTCAACCACAGCAAGCTGTGATTAAAAGACAAGTCTGATTTCATTATCCCCCTGCCTAAAATCTATTCGTCACCATATTACATGACAGCGGAAATGAGCAAACCACAGCTACAGGCAGAAACACCATGGACTCTGAGAAGCAGGATACTGAGTGAAAAGAGCAAGTCGGAAAAGACGACACAGAGCATGATGCCACCTTTATAGAGCTCCAAAGCAAACAAAACTAAACAAAGTATTGTTTAGGGATACGTACACGGAGGTCATTTTTTTTTTTTTTAAAGTAGGGGAATTATGAATACAAAGTTCCAAGTAGTCCTCTCTGGGGAGGAGTAGGGAAGATGAAATAGGGAAGGAACATGCATGAAACACACGAAATTGTTGAGATCCTAGCTCTCATGTTGACACACTATTATTGTATAATGTTATACATATACTTCATTGCCTCCATATAAACTACCTCTATCTTTAATGTATCAAATAATCTACAATTAAAAAAATTAAGCTGTTGGGGCGCCTGGGTGGCTCAGTTGGTTGAGTGTCTAAGTTTGGCTCGGGTCATGAACTCACGGTCTGTGAATTCGAGCCCCACGTCGGGCTCTGTGCTGACAGCTCAGAGCCTGGAGCCTGCTTCAGATTCTGTGTCTCCCTCTCTCTCTGCCCCTCCCCCATTCATGTGAGTGCTCTCTCTGTCTCAAAAATAAATAAACGTTAAAAAAAATTAAAAAAAATAAACATTAAAACATATTTTTTCAATAAAAAAATCAAGCTGTTCAGTTTCCCATTGTTCTCAGCAAAAAAAGAAAAAGAAAAAAAAGAAAGAAAAGAAAGAAAACAAACAAACAGAAAACCCCCCAAACCTTCAAAATTCTTCACATGGCTCACCAGTTCCTGCAGGACATGAACTCTGCCCACCTCCTTAGGTATACCTAATGCTTCAGGGCCTTTGCACATGCCACAACCTGGACCACTCAGATCTCCACTCATCATCTGGATAATTCCTACTCTTGCTTCAAGCTTCAGCTTAAATATCACTTGCCCACAGCATATTAAGTATCTCATTACTCATTCCAAAGTACACTATGATTGTTCAATTGCCACGCTGATTGTGGTTATTACATGATTATGCGTGTGTGCTCTACATACATCATCACATTCAGGATCGAATTCTCAGGACCTAGTGCAGGGGCCTGTTTGACTAATTAACAGATGCCCCTCCCCCAAATAATTTATCGAATGAGTGAATCAATCTGTGAGTGAATGAATAAATGAGAAAGAGAGGATTGAGGATGAAGCAAAGATAAAAGGAGGATCCAGAGGTTGGGTGGATGGAGGGGTTCACAACCAAACCAGGATGCAGATTCCACTGCTGAGAGGCACAAGGAGACAATTACTTTTGCAGTTGAAGTTGAAGGAGCCTTCTGGATCGGGACGAAAGCCCTCAATGCAGCTACAGCTGTAGGAGCCCGGGGCATTGGTGCACACAGAACTGGGGCCACATGGTGATGGGTCCTGGGAGCACTCATCGATATCTGCAAAGGACTCAAGAGTGTCAAACAACCCAGAAGAACGAGGACATACTTCTTTCCAGGGAGAGCCAGGAACCCCTCTTCTCACCTCTGCATTCCACGTCTTGGCCTGTGAAGTTCAGCTGTCCGTTGCTTGGTGCAAAGCCAGGAGAGCAGGTGCAGAAGTAGCTCCCAGGGGTGTTGGTGCATGTTGCGTTGGAAAGGCTGATGTAAAGGCACTCATCAATATCTATAGGGTTGAGAATGGGCATGAGGCAGAGCTGGCTAGAAATCCTGCAAAAGTTATGCTTACAAAGCATAGAGTTGTCACCAAAAAAAAAAAAAAATGGTGACCCAACCAGGGACAACATTTCCCAGAACCTTCTGCATCTAGGTTGGGGCCATGGGACTAGTTTTCACTTATGGAATGTGAGCAAGTACATTTGCCAGTTCTGAGCCGAGATGGTTACAAAGTGGGTGTGCCTTCTCCCTCTTTCCCCACCACTGGCTGAACCAGGGATTCCAAAGCCACAAGGCATATAAGGACCAACGGATGTAAGGAAATGGATCCCTATATCACCACGTGGAGAAAATCTGCCCACTGGCCAGGTGCATCTATATTGGATGGTTATGAAAGTCAGAAATTGCTATTATATTTAGCTAGTGGTTCTCAACTGAGGGTGGTTTGCACCCCGACCCCCTCCAGGGGACATTGGGCAATGTCTGGAGACATCTTTGGTTGTCATGACTGGGCTGGGGGAGGGGGATGTACTACTATGATCTAGTGCACAGGACAGCCCTCCACCACAAAGAGCCATCTGGCCCAGAATGTCAATAGTGCCAACATTGAGGAACCCTGGCCAGCTTACTGTGGCAACATGGGATTACCTCTCCTTCTGGGGATCTCTGAGGATCTATGGAATAGAATGTCCTGGGGAAAAAAATAATCAGGAGGGAGGTAAAGGCAAAACTTCTCATATTCCTATGTCAGTTCATGAAACAGGAGGGGTAAATAGGAAGCATCCACTAGTGGCTTGCACAGGTACATGGTTGTTGCACTGGGCGTTACCATGGAGCGCCGGAATGGGAGGTCCTTGTGGGATGAATGCAGACTAACTTGGAGGTCTCGAAGAACAGGAAAATGACCCACGGTTGGGAGGTATGGGGAAGTGATTCTCCTCCTGGTATCACAGAAACGTCTCTGACCAAGGAGCGGGCTTCCACTTGCAGACACACTTAAGCATCAGGTAGGTGAACTCTTGTCAGAAATGACGCAAACAGTGGGGCGTCTGGGTGGCTCAGTTGGATAAGCATCCAAGTCTTGATTTCAGATCAGGTCATGATCTCACAGTTTGTGAATTAGAGCCCGCATGGGGCTCTATGCTGACAGTGCAGAGCCTGCTTGGGATTCTCTCTCTCCCTCTCTGCCCTTCCCCCACTCATGCTTTCTCTCTCTCTCTCTCTCTCTCTCTCTCTTTCTCTAAAATAAATAAACTTTAAATGAATGAATGAATGCTTCTTAAAAACAGTATAAATGGAATTTATATTTTGCAAATGGAACTGGACTAGGCATATGATTTTCAAAACTTTTTGGCTGAAGAAAGCTTTCACTTCCTGCAAAGTGAAACCTATTTAGGAAGTAAGACAAATAAGAGAGATGATAATCTGACTGAAATAGGGGCTCTGAAGAGATTCCTAAGAACCCACAGTGCTGTATTGATCTACCTCTAAGGTCCCTTTCAAATTTGCCTCACTATTGTTCTGCCTAGAAGAATGTCAGTAGCTGGTGAACATCAAGGTGAAAAGAAATACAACATGTGTAATGACGAGAAGCGTGCATTTCCCCAGGGGGTGGAAGAATATAAAATGTGCTCTGCAATATGTTAGATCCTCCAAAGATGACCCCCACCAATTCTTTCATTTCCTGCGTGTACTTGTTGCTTGCCCAGCGATTTGGGGAGTCGATTTCCCCTTCCTTTTCCTGTCGGCTGGCCCCATGACTGTGACCAGGAGAACAGAACAGAAGGAACATTCTGGCACTTCCAAGCCCACGCCTTACAAGAACCCACATTTTCTGCTTTCTTCTGCTTGCAGCTTCCCTTCCTGCAAACCAGCTGCCATGTTCCCAGGAAGCTCAAGCAACCATGAGGAAGGGCCCATGAGGGAAACCGAGGGGCCCAGCTGAGCTCCCACCCAGAGACTAGCACCAAATACCAGCCATGTAAGTGCGGCCATTTTGGACCTCCCAGCCATCCTATTGCCACCCCCC